GACCTCAAAGCAATGTTTCAGCTTCACTCAATACAACCTAATGCTTAAAAGTATACTTTTCTATTAAAGCTACTCAATCAAAAATTGTGTTCTAAAAGTAAAAATATGAAGTAGTGACAGGATCCAGCATGCCAGAAAAACAAGAACACTGTTCCAATGTCTTCAACATCAAATGTTGATTTTAATTTGGACTTTAAAAAAGTAAATATGCCTGGGATCAAAGTCTGTATGAGACCTTTAAAATTAAACAGTTGTTTAGAGAATCCTCACTGGCTTCAGAACTGAGAACATGGAAACACTTTGGATTTTGGGGGTCCTGCTGTCTATCTGCAGCCTCTCCTTTAGTCAAGGTAATGCATTTAAGTATTGTAATTTCACCACTTATACAGTATGTAGTATGATGTATTGGCTATGTGTGTATTTGTACATGTCAATGTTTGTAATGTTTTCCATTTTAGAATGTAATCAACAGCTTCAGGAGGATGTAGATTTCCCTGGAACAGACATCAAATTCGTCTTCTCTCCTGATGCCAACCACTGTCAGCAGCTTTGCACCCAGCACCCCTCCTGTCTCTACTTTACCTTTATTCGTGCTGACTGGACCAAAGACAACAGGTACAAAACAAGCAGTGCACCCATAAATAAGTCATACTTGTTCATTTTTCATAAAACAGGATGGTAAAGATACATTTTGTACTCAGAAAATTAGATAGCTGGAATATGAAAACAAACTCCAACCTACTGTCACCAGAAATGAATTAATTAAAATTTATATATTTTAATTTAGAGCCACCCTACACTACCAGACATCAAAACAAATCAAGCAGTGTATTATCTAATCTCTTTTGCAACCGTACATGAGACGTTTTGTCTCATTGTAATTTATAGGCTGAAGGCTATAGGCTAAAGGTTATTTGTCAATTTGTTTTCGATGCAACTGTGACCGTGCAATTTCCTCTCCAGTTTTTATTCAATTGTTCATGTTAAGTTTTAAAGGGCCAGTGTGTAGGATAATCTATTGGCAGAAATGAAATATGATATTCATAACTATGTTTTAATTTGTGTATAATCAGCTGAAACTAAGAATCGTAGTGTTTCCGTTACCTTAGAATGACACATTTATATCTACATAGAGAGCTACACCTCTTCAAGGACTATGCCATAGTGCACCGCCATCTGTCTAGAGTAGCCCAGGAGGACAAACACTGGCTCTGCGAAAGGGGCCTTTCTTGTTTTTACGTTGCCTAAAGGCCACCGCAGTTCACTCACACACACACAAACATAAACACACAAAAACATCTGCCCTTCTCTACAGGCACTTCTACTGCTACTTCAAGAAGAGTTCCTCTGGACAGCCCAATGTGCGGACTCCACTGCAGGGTGTCACCTCTGGATTTTCTCTCAAACCCTGCAGCTCAGAACCACGTAAGCTCACAAATATTTGAAACCATTATGAAAACCATCGGTTAATTTGCAATTTTTTCTTACAAAGTAAGAGCAATTGTAATCAGTTACGGTTACTGAGAAAAAAATATGTGATTAAATTGCACTTCCTAATCAAAATGTTGGCGATTACAAAAGGGTTGCATCCAAATATATTCATTTTGGTAAAAAAGCTTAAGTGTAGAATATAACATTCAAGCTGCTGCTCTGTTCAAATCTTAATTCAAGTAATATTGAAGACTATTTCATTGAAGTTTGACAGTAATCAGTGATTAACAGGGTAACTAGTAATCTGTAACCTATTACATTTCTAAGTAACCTTACATACACTGTTAATTATTGATCCATGAACACACTCTCCTTTACTCTGTCTGCCAGAGCCTTGTCTGCCTCAGCTGTACCATAACGTGGACTTTTTCGGGGCAGACTACCAAACCTTGTTCACAGCCGACTACGATGAGTGTCAGAGAGCCTGCACACGGGACCCTGCCTGTCAGTTCTTTACTTTTATTAATGGGGTCTTCACACCAGAGAGGATCAGGTAAAACTGGATCAAGTAATATTTCACTGCTGTTGAAATCAAATTGTCATGTTTGCCGCTCCCTCTATAGTTGTTTGACACAGTTGGTTTAATTTAAACAATGTGGGAACATTTTCTATGAATCCACCAGGGTGGCGACATAGGCCCACCAATTCCCTAACAATGCAACTTTTGTTTTGTTTTAGGTACAAGTGCCACCTTAAATTCAGCTGGTCAGCACCAATAACTTCTATTGTTGAAAGGAAAACTGGTGTAGTATCTGGATTCTCCCACAATACAGAAATAACTCAAGAAGTGAAACCAGGTACACAAACAGTCCTATAGCATTTGGAATAAACTCTGCAGATAGTTGCGCATGCTTTCTTAATGTGTTATCCATGTTTTGATCAGCATGTGAAGGAAAGCTTTTTCCAAGCACTGACATCCCAGGAAATGACGTTGTGGTTCTTCCTGCTGCCTCTCCTGAACACTGTCAGACTCTGTGCTCTGCTCATCCAGTCTGCACCTTCTTCTCTTTTGTCAGGTAGTCAAACAGTTTTCTCCAATAAGACATTACAATGAGTATAATATGTTAAATATGTGGTTACATATTTCATTCTCCTTTTCTATCAGATCTGTTCTTGAATCTCAAAATATAGACATCTTCTTTTTTTTGCAGTGACAAATTTAATTGTCATCTGAAGAACAACAAAAATGAAATGGTTCCCAAAACCAAAGAAGGAGTCACATCTGGATTACCAGCACGCTTCTGTCAGCTGGATAACAGTATGTATTATTAATCATCACTAAAACTGTCGGAGAGGACACACTTTCAGTAGCATCACAGACCAAAGACCATCTTCAAAGACCAATGATTGAATTAGTATATGGATTGACTAATTCAATCATTTAATGTTATATATTTCCCGCGTGGCAATGGATCGGTCACTCTAGTCTTCACTTATTCAATGAAAACAACATGTTCTACATACATTCATGGTCCCCAGATGATCCATCATTATAATTTTAAATGATAAAACTATCTTTTGATTTTAGAGAGTTGTTTCAACAATGATGAATGGACTGGCAACAATTTTACTAAACACCTTCATACTTCCCTCAGGATGAAGCATACTTTTCATGGATTATGGCAGCAGGCTGTGTTTGCATTATAACGCTATTTATTCTCAGCAGTTTGAACAATTAGAATCGAAGCACTGTGCTGGAAGTCAAAATCTAAAAATAATAATGGAAAAACCTTTGTGATGAATACATTATGACAAAGCCGGACTTTTTCTTCCCGTGATTCTTCTCTAAAAAGACAACTTTCACTGAATGGCAATGTTATTTTTTACTTCATTTGATCATTTCAGAAATAATGATAAACCAAACGTCTGCCATTTTCCCTCTAACACTGCATGAATAGATAAACTATAAACTCTTATTTTAGATTTGGTTATAAAGCGATCTTTAAAAAAAACCTAGAATCATTCAGCAACTTCATTCATCTATCCTTTCAGTTTATTGTTGGTGAAGTATTTCTGTAGTTTAGCCAGCAGCAGCAGTCTAACTTCGTTCCTCTCTGCTAACAGGCTGGGTGAAGGCAACTTTTGAAGGAGTAGATTTCGGAGGTAATGACATTCGCTATGAGCTGATGGACGATGCAGACACTTGTCAGAGGACCTGTAGTGATGAACCTACATGCCAGTTCTACACCTATGTCAATACAAACTTCTTCAACAGTGATTACAGGTAGAGTATTTTCATGCGTGCAAACCTGCATTAACACAAATACTTAACATTTTTTTAATAAAATTGTTCCAACAATTCAGGCAATAACCAGAAAACATTTAACTTGATCGTCAATCAGACACCATTGCAGCCCCTCTTTATAAATTATGACAGCTGTATTTATGGTGCATATTTGAAGATGCTGTTATTCATCTTGTGTTCCAGGCGCCGCTGCTACCTCAAGCGTGCCATCACCATGCCTGCTCCTCCTAAAGTTACCAAACTGGCCAATGTTGTATCAGGCTTCCAACTGAGGAACTGCGTGAATAGTGCTCCACACACAGATGTTCTTACTTAGTTCTTTATTATGGACACTTGATCTGTTGGTGGTTCCTAACATCATTTGATTGCTGTTCAAGCTGCAGATGATTCTTTTTGTGTGTAAACAAGAACAATAAAACAGATCAATGTGGGCCGTCAGGGCCTGCAAGGCCTTCTCTGCTGGCCTAAACAGAATCACAAAGTTATAACTATTTTATAATAATAATTTTTCCTTAATTTATAAAAATATTTTTCCCATTACCTTATTTTCTCATTGCACAGCTACTGTCTTCCTCTGTTGCTCTGCTTCCAGTGCAGCTTGTTTTAAGTAGAGCTTTTATCCAATCAGATTTCACCTCTGTGTCTCTAGGTAAGAAGAGAGGCCCGAGGCCTTCAGACTCACAAGTGAATCCCTTTGCAGTTTAAGTGAATGGGGACGATATTGTTGATTGTCATAGTCTTCAACCAATCAGATCTTTAGTTTGACATGTTGGCCGTATTCTTTGACGTGCCAGAGCCTGCTAGCTGGCCTACAAATACGTCAGCATTAACGGGCAGCTGAGTTTAGAGGTGCAGCACTGCAGTAAGGTGCAGCGTGTGCTGTGATTGGTCAGTGACTATTGTGAAACGAAACTTAAAGTAGCCATCAGAGGCCTAGTTGGAGTAGTAAGAGTTCAAATTGAAAGATATGGAACAAATTATGACATTTTTTGCATGTTGCTTGGTGTAGATTTTGAATTTTTTTACCTAGCTTTGTTTTTTTAACAAAGGCTGAAGGAGGAGGAGAAACAGATTTGTGAGTTGGGATTTAACCGTGGGATTAAACTCTTTGTCAACAAAGAAAGGAGGATGGAGTTTGTCTTTAAGTGAACGGCATTTGGTAAGTCAACTGCGTTTGTTTTTTTTACATCTAATATCTCAATGGCCCTTGAGTGTGTAGCAGAATGTGTGTTCTGCTGCAGGTCTGCTGGATTGATTTGTCATGCTTTGTTGTCATATAAATATATGTGACTGGTTCTTGTGAATTTGTTGTTGTCATTGTGTTAATTATATAGATTTGGACTATATGCATTGTCCGTTAATTACGAAGCATACCGTCATGCGCTGAGTTATTGTTTGTTAAGCTAGTTTAGCGTAGTCTCCCAGAAGTGCGGTTCCTCAGCTGTCTTTTGTTTTGGTTTTTTTTGTTCCGGGTTCAGAGGTCACACAGCCCGTTGTCTCCTACGTGAGCGCAGTCCACCGAAAACATTATATGTCCCACAATTTAAGCTTCTGTATTTTCCAAATGCACTAACTATTTTGTGACTTTTAGATTTCTTGTGTTCTGACTTTTGCAATTTGTTGACAAGTGAAGAGAACTTGTACAGAGGACCAGTACTTTCAGAGTTTCTCTACCACTGGTATCAGGTATGTCTGTGCCTTATGCATCCATGCAAACTCCACGTCCGTGCACTCGGAAACTCAAGTGCTGTCAAACAGAGTGCTAAAAGACTAAAGACATACAATGCCGAATCATGTTTTTGATAAAAGTGTAGCATTAAATAAAGTACGCAGACATAGTGTAATACTCAATTAGTGCTCAAATGCTATTGTCTATTGTAGCAACAAGTTTAGTCAATTTAATGAATTTTTAAATAAAATTGATCTTCGCTATAAATTATGCTGGTGGTGATTTTGTTTATGCATAGCTGCTTCTCCTAAAGTCACTAAGTTGGCTATTGCTGTGTCTGGACTCTCCTTCACAAGAGACACAGAAACTGTACACATGTAATCCAATAAAAGATTCAACACTATAGAGAAGTATATTTACACATCAGAGGAGAAATCTCTCCCACTTCCTGATTTCACTGAACTCTTTTTTTCTCCCTTCTGCCTCCTCATAGCATCTCTTCCTCTTTTCAGCTTGAACCACAAGGCCGGCCTACTCTGTACACCCTCGCCTCACATACACACTCACAAACACGCGCACACTTCCCTCCGTCTTTCTCCATCATTCCCTCCCCTCTTTCCTCTCTTCCCCCTCCAGCCTCCCCTCCCCCGTGGGAAACCCAGTGCAGTGTGACTGTGGTTGTCCTTCCTGGAAGCTGTGGTGGTGACTCTGGCTCCTCCGCTCAAAGGCTAGAATAGTACCAGCCACCCTGTGTGTGTGTGTGTGTGTGTGTGTGTCTCTGTTTGTATGTTGTCTGAGTGCCTGTGTGTGTGTGTGTGTGTGTGTGTGTGTGTGTGTGTGTGTGTGTGTG